TGCAGGGCAAGTCAGCTTTCCACCCTGCTACCTAAATCCCCCTTACCCCTTTTAAAGCCCTGCCCCCTCACCTCACCTCAGATCATATGCCCTGTGCTCTCAGGTGGCCAGTGCCCCTACACGACACTATTCCTTGGTGACATCTCACACTCTCCATCTATCCCTCCACCCACAAGCATCTTATCCTCTTGTCATCATTTCATTACACAGCTCTCTGCTTGGAATCAGTATACTAATATTAAGATTGTATTAATGATTAATGGAAGCTTCATGGTTATTTCCCAGATATATCACATTCATGGTTAATTCCCCTAAGGCTCCTGATAGAAATTTCTCAACCTACTATGAATTTGAAAGGAAGATGGTTTTAATCAGAGCTTTTCTTGAGACTCTATAAATCAAGTTCTCCAGTACTGACCTTCTTTGCCTATGTATAGGATCAAGGCTTAAAGCAAGTTGAGAGCATTCCTGTACATTAAGGAAATCTCAAGATCCTTAAATTTGTTCATGACTAAGCTATTTTTATATTGAGATTTTTTAGGTAACATCTTTGGGTTCATTTTCTTCCCCATTTGAAAGATGGATATATATCATAGATCCATTTTCCATCGCTTAAGCATCTCTTATCCTAAATGGGTGGACACATGATAAACTAGCAAGTAGGAGGGACAGAGCGTGTAGTTGTGTTGCCTGGGGATAGAAAAAAGGAGTAGGTAGATTTAATATTATCATTAGTCATGACCTGAGCCAAACTTATCAGTTTTAGAAACATGTTTAGCAATTCTGTCTGCATAGTAGAATTAACTGGAAATTTTTTTAAAGAAAAAAGTTCTGGGATGCCTGGGTGGCTCATTCGGTTAAGCGTCTGACTTCAGCTCAGGTCATGATTTCATGGTTTGTGGGTTCAAGCCCCACATCAGGCTCTGTGCTGACAGCTCTGAGCCTGGAGCCTGCTTCAGATTCTGTGTCTCCTTCTCTCTCTGCCCCTCCCCTGCTCGTGCTCTGTCTCTCCCAGTCTCTCAAAAATAAATAAACGTTAAAAATGTTTTTTAAAAGTTCTTAGGCTCCACCCTTCAAAATTCTGATTCAATTAACATAGGATGGGGTTTTAGCATCAGATTTTTTGAAAATCTCCTTAAGGTAATTCTATAGTGCAGCCGAGACTGAGAACCACTGTCTTAAAACAGCATCAGTAATATAAAGGAGGTAGAAACTAGCATCATATTAGATGAACGTTGGTTGTGACCAAGATATGAGACTGGCTCTCTATTCTGGAAGTACTCAGCAAGTGACGTTCAATGGGTTTCACATGGTGGTCATGGCCTGGGGGAAAGAACTCCTGGATAGAAGCCACGAATCAGTAGGTAGTATACTAGAGGAGGCTCAAAAACCACCTAACTAATCCTTTTCCTTATCGCTATGTGAGCACTTGGCAATTCAGCTTGTCTTCAGGCCTCAGTTTCCCTATCCATTAAATGAGCAGATTTGATTAGATTACCTGAGCTCCTGGGTGTTTTCCAATGTTGTAATTCTCTGATTCTAAGATAATTTTTGAGCGTCACAGGAAAGATGCCCCTACGCATTGGTATTCTCTGCTCATTCCTCCTCTGAGGTCACCCACCCTGGGAAGCCTACTGAACCACAGGCCCTACAGCTCCAGCTCTTCTGCTGCTGGCCAAATGCCACCCTGGCCTCCTCCAGCAGTAGCAAGACTTCCATCCATGAGGCCTTCTCTAGCAGGATGAAGGCTTGTGTGCAATTCTTATAAAGACAACTCATTTGAATTGCAGGGGCAGCCTCTAAGTGATCTCTCTGCTCCCCAGCAAGCATACGCCTGACCACTGATGCTATCTGCAGAGGAAGTGCTGGAATGCGGAAGTTTACACGATATCAGTGTGCGCACATCCTCCTGTCTTTAGCCCAGGGAGCCCAGCCAACAGCAACTGTACCACGGTGCTCCCTGTCTGCCCCATCTCGGCAGCCTTGAGCTGCCTTGGAGTCTCCTGCTTTGCGCTTTTTTTCAATGGATGGGCTGTGAAACAGGAATTGATCAAAACAAAAACACGTTTGGTGCTTACAGCCTCTGCACAGGCTCTGTACTAGGAATGTCACGCTCCATGTCTCCAGGCCTCAGACTCTGACCAGAATTCACTGGAAGGGAATTGCTGTGGTCTGGGTGTTTGTGCCCCTACCCCCAATTCCTATGTAGAAATCCTAACCCTCAGAGATGATGGCATTAGAAGGTGTATAAATCTTTAGGGTGGAGTCCTCATGAATGGGATTAATGATTTATAAAAGAAGAGAGATTCCTAATCCCTCCACCATGTGAAGACACAATAAGAAGTCTGCAACCCCAAAGAGGTCCACACTTGACTCTGACCTCAAACTTCCAGCATCTGGAACTGTGAGAAATAAATTTCTGTTGTTTATGAGGCACCAAGTCTGTGGTATTTTGTTATAGCAGCCTGCATTCATGAAGACAGGGATCATCTCAGCCAATCCCTTAATGCAAAATGTCCTATCCAGTGCACTGACTTACTGGGAGACCCATCAGCTCTGCCTCAAACTCGAGACAAAAGTGACCGGATACGCACCATGCCTGGGGCTGTGTGGTAAATGAAATATTTTGGTAGGGAAGATGGCCAGGGGTTTTAAAGTACATATTGCAGATCCCTTTTAGTTTCTCAACATCTGCATAGGTAGAAGAGAGGTAAAGGGAAGAGGGGGTGGGTGGCTGGAAAAAGGCAGACTGAGTAGATCTTGTCCATGGAGGAGCTGAAGGTGGGGGCTCCAGGGTCAGCAGAACACCAATGACAGAGGTCTGTCTCTGGGTGCGCTTCCCAGATCCTGGCTCCTTGGTCCAGGTGAGATCTGGAGCTATCCTGTTGTCTACCTCACATGTAGTCTTTTGGGCATTGAAGCCAGTGACATCAGACTCCAGATCTTCTTCCCTGGCCCTTCCTTGCACTCACAGGGTATAGAGTGCTTTCTTATGTTCTCTTTATATGGACAGTGTTAGCTTAGGCAAGCCAGGTTCCCCTCTTGCTCATGAAGAGGAATAGACACTCCAGCTTCCCAGGCTGAGCGGAGAGGCCACTCTGGTATCTCATAGTACTGGTGGAAGAAATAGAACAAGAGGCATCACCTGGCCAGGAGGAGCTTGGAATTCAAATGCAGCCCTTCTGCTCAGTCTGAGCTCATGCTCCCATGCCCAGCTAGTTCCTGTAACATGGACCTGCAAACAAACAGTCTTCAGGTCCTCCTCTTTGCACCTTCAAACAAATGTTCCCTTTAGAATTATGAAGCCAACTACTTCCATGCTCAGCTGTGTTTCAACACCTAAAGAGTCCGGGTGAGGAATCCATGGGAGAAAACGGGCACTATGTCTGGCAGAATTGTAGACTCTCATCGGTGTAAATGAGGTGTTCAATAAGTGTCTCCCTGCTTGCCACTCTGTAATTAAAAAACAAGTAAACCCCAGGAAATCAAACGTTTTATTGCTTTACTTAATGATGTTCCAAATCAACCCCCTCCCACACCCCGATCTTTCATTAGCAGGTCTCTAAAACAAACATGCCAGGTCTTGTCCCTGCCCTCCATCAGTCTAGTGCCTGGTGGCAGGAGAAACAGGACCTGAGTAGCAGGACCGAGCAACACTGACGTCACTGTTTGTACCACTAGGTCTGTAGCCTGTGTCATGGCCACAGGCAGGGGTGGGGCAGGGGGAAACAACCAGAGCAAAGAGAACAAAGAGAAGAGGAGGAAAAGTGAGAAAACAAAAGGAGAAAAAGAAATAATTGAGGAGACACACGCTGGGAAGACTAAACTCTCACCGCAGTAACCATGGATTTCAGACCTCTGATGAAGCCATGTGGTTTCAAGAGTCAAGTAATGTATGACAGCAATGGGGATGACGTATGTGAAACTAGAACAGGTAACACCTGCTGGGAAATCTGTCCAGTGGCCCCCAAAGCTGAAAGCACATTTGAGAATATCTATTTGTCTGTGTTTTGTTCTCACCCTTATTCAATGTCTGTCCTGTATATGTTTTATGATTTACATGATATAGCAATGTAGCAGTACATGATATAATTTATAAGTAAAGAAATATATTGGGGGGGGGTGTCTGCTCAAATATTTTCTACTCATGGAGTACATAGTCAAAAGAGCTTGGAGACCACTTAATCAGGATAATGACAAAAATTATTAAAGCCTCCACTATCCTTCCTAGCGAGGCTTGGGGCCTCACCCAGGCCCTCTGCCAGGCTGGCTTCACTCTAGGAGGAAAAGTCTGCCAGGAAGGCTCCTCTCCTAGCTACTTTCTAGTGCCTCTTATCCCTAACAAGAGTGAAATCACTGGCATTTTGGTGAAACAGAAAAAATATTATTGGGACTACTACTATCTAAAAACCCCAGCCAGCCTCTGAGGAAGTCACATCGTGGTGAGAAGGCCTCTTTCACAGGCCTACCATACACAACTGTGGCCATGGAAAGGCAATGTAATCCAGCCCATGTCCTGTTCACCAAGCCTTGCGCCTGGAGAGGGGTGTGTCTGCTCCAAGGAAGGGGCACCTTTCACTAAGGCTCACAAAGGTGTTTGTAAGGATTACCAATAGCCCTGCTCTCATAAATACACATTTATTGCTTGTTTTGTCTTAGTCTAATAATAATTTTGAGTTTCCAAACCCTGGAAAGTATGCATCATGGAGGGGGTGGCAGAATGGGGCTCCACTCAACAGGTGCAGCTCCCCAAAACGCAGCTCACCACAGGTGAATACAAGAAAGCTAAATATCATTTTCTGCCCCTATGTCTCAGGGACACCATGAAGCCATCTGACTGGATGAATTGTTCCACAAAGAAAAAAAGAAAAAGAACTAACGCCTCAGTCCACCATCGGTTGGGGCCAACATGTTGCCTAGGTCCTTGGCACATGGCCTCAAATGTCTCCACTGGACATAGTCACCCAACCATGGAAGGTTCCATCTCACTCAGCCTGAGACCATGGTGGAATAATGCAATCCTTTTGAATACAGCCACAGGGGGCCATAGACGTCCCCACATGTCCCTGCTCACCCTTATCTTCCTGCAAATTCCATTGATTTATTTTACTGGGAAATGTGGTGTTTCCCCCCAAAATGTCTTCTTCTCCCTCATAGGGAGTAATTTTGCTTCTCAGTCATCAGGTAGCGCTGAGAAAGGGAGCGTGTCGGGTGGGCCTCTGTGGGCTGTCTCCATGTTTGCCTGGGACCCTCAAGCATCGGCCTTGGGCTCTTTCATTGATTTGACAAATTCCTTGACTTCTTCTTCCAGGGCCTTGTTCCTCCTCTCAACATCCTCCCGGGAGCGCTCCACATTGCGGAGGCTGATTTCCAAGGCTGCAAATTTCTTCTTCTCCTTCTCCAGTTCTTCATTGAGCCTCACCACCTTGGCCCAGACATCGTAATTTTCCTTCTCAAGGCTGCAAGGAAGAAAATAGCAGAATGAAAGAACAGGGTAGGACCTCTAGACTGTCCCTTCACCCTTGCTCACAACACCCTCTGTCCATTTTCCTTTCTACATCACAAGACCTATAGCCAACCTGAACCTCTTATTAATGTTCCACCCACCCCCCCCACACACAGACTTCTCAGTAAGCCTGAATTCCCAGGGCATGTCTGAACCTCTCTTTTGTCATTTTAACACCATCTTGTGACATCTCTTGTGTTGTTCCTTCTCATGTCATTCTATGTTTTGTATCCTCCAGAAGATAATAGTCTTTGAAAGAAGGAACCACCTCTAACATATGTATATTTTCACCTCCACAGCACCTTGCACGTGTCCTGCTCAACAGAAATGTTAATTGACTGCTGAGGCCCCATATTCCAGATTCCCAACACCTTTGCACACATGAGGACCTGCTCATCCTGCTTCCATGGAGAGTACCAGCGCCATCTCTTATCAAGACCCCCTAGGGGTGGAGGTTTGGAGAAGTGTGGGGAACTGCCATTTGGAAGCAGAGGTCCTGACAGCCCCACCCCCACTTCTGAATCTGCTCCAGGTGAAAAAATCTGTTGGGTTCCCGAATTCCCAGAATTTTCACTGTTACTGGTCCAAATCTTAGTCTAGTCCCAGGTGCTCCCTGCTCTGCAGGCTATGCTGAATTAACTCCTAGGAATGAGAGTACAATGCCATTTTTAAGCCCAAAGAGGAAATTTCAGGACTGTGGGAGATTGTGTGACTGGAAGTTTGCTTCAGAATTCCATTCTATGAGATGCTGCCTCTCTGCCCACCCCCCCTCCAAATGGCATATTTTGTATAGAAAATTGAGCTCTCATTTGAGCCCAGCCTGGCTTCTATCTTCAGGGGCTTTGGCCCATTCTGCATGTAACAGCCCATCTTTGGAGCCTTGCCTACCCCTGCCTATCTCTTCCTACAGATAATCTAGTCTCATTCCTTCTGGCCCTCTCATTACAAATCTAGTTTTCTTCTCAGAGTTTACTCTTGCTTCCATCTTGCTTTGGGAGAAATCTCAATTGAGAGAATACTGCCAGATTTTGACCACTGATTCCAGTGGAGAGGTAGAATCTGAGTGGGCTCAGGAGCCTGACTAATTCAGGTTCAAATACCTGATTACATCAAATACTGATGATTAGTTGTGTGACCCTGAGGAATCTTTTAATACCTCCTGAGCCCCTATTTCTTCTATAAAATGGGGATATTACCTATTTTGCAGGATTTCTGTGGGTATTACATGAAAATGTGTATCTGGGGCACAAAGTTCAGAGCAGGCACTATGGACTGTTAACTCTCCCTCTGTTGAAAATGGAGGACCCTTCTGGTGGGTGAATTTCAGAGAAATTGGTTCCATTCAGAAGGAGCAGCCCTTCCATGGCAGCTGGGTCTTTCCCTACCTTGTCAGTGACATTCACGTCAGAGTGCAGTGGGAAACTTCTCTGGGGCTGCTTCCCTCAGAGTCAAGTTGGCACATGAGTGTTGTAGGCCTACAGATGATTGACTTCAGGATCTTAGACAAAGGATCTCCATTTTGCTTTTAGACGGGCACCCCTCTTTGTAGGGAACAAAGAATGAGGGCTCACAAAATTCTTCCTGTCATGTACCTGAGTCTCAATGGACTGAAAAGTGGTCATGATTGGGAAAACCCTACTAGTTCATATTTCATTGTCATGATTAGTGTTAATATGGATTAAGCCGGATTGAGCTTTCCTCTCATGAAAAGTCAGTGGTGTGAAAAAGATTTCAAGAAAGTAGTTTATCTACCCAAGAGAGCAAATTGTGTCCAGGCATCTTAGGGATGTGCATGAAAATTGTGGCATGAGCTGCCACACTGGCCTTCCATTCACCCCTGCGGCCTGTACTCCATAGGAAGCCAGTGATTCAGTGAAGCTTTAGTCAGGTAGATCTTCCTAGAAACTCTGCTCCACACAGGCTTTAAGGGGGCTGGAAAGGCCTCCTGCACTTGTCTGCCCTCTCTCCTCTCAGTCACCCCCTGCTTCTCCAGCTCACCACAGCTCTTCCTATGCATTAACATGCCAGACCTGCTCCCTTCCATGGACTCTGCACCTTTGCTTCTCCCTGCCTGGCCTGATCTTCCCCAGTATGTGGACCTGACTCATTCCCTCTTCTCTTCAGCCCTTTGCTCTGATGCCACCTTCTCAGTGAAGCCTTCCTGACCACATTATTTAACATAGGAACCCCCTTCTTGAACCCTTCCCCAACTCCTGCCCTGCTTTATTTTTCTCCATTGCATGGTCCATCCTCTGACATAGCATATATTTTAATTATGCTATGCCTTCCTATAGAAGGAAAATTCTATAAGCACAGACAAAACTTTTGTTTGTTTTGTTCAGTGCTGTTTCCCAACAGCCAAGATAGTGTCTGGCACACTATAGGTGCTCAATAAATATTTTCAGAATGGATGTATTACATTAAGATGAACAAAATTTAAAGTTCCTCTTCATTCATTACAGCATGCCGATCCTTAAGGAACAACTATTTGGAAATGGTTGCTTAAGCCTTGTAAGCTACATACTTAACTTCTCATGAATTTAACCTAAATAGAGTTTTCACTAATTTGGTCATCTCATTACTCCCTTTACCCCTTCCCGTAATTAAGCCCAATTGCTGTAGATTAGTGTGTTCTCTAAACTCAAGCTTTCTAGTATCATTTGTTAGCAGATGAGAACAGTCCCTATTACTGCTGAAGATGGAGGCCGGGTGGCTGCTCAGGACCCCTCTGCATGTGACTTACTTTTTGATCTGTTCCTCATACATTTGCTTCTGTGTTTCTATTTCCTTTTGCAGTTCCTGGACCACCTTCTGCAAGGATTCAAGTTCCTCTTCTCCAGAGTTCTTTTTTCCAGGTCTGGTTTCAGAGTTTGGGCTGGCAAGAGTTTCTCTCTTGGAGTCACAAGCATGGGAAGAGACAGCAGCTGCCCCATCCCCAGGGGCCCCAGGCAGGGAAGGGATGTTATCATAGGTGGAAGTCCGCTGGGAGTCAGAAAAGTGGGGCATACCTTGAGACATTGTTCTCCGGTGCCCTTCCCCTGCCTTTACCTCTGAAGAGGGCGACCAGAACTCATTCTTAAAGATCTCTACTTTGTTGCTGTTGGCACCTTGAAACGCCGATGTCAAGAAGCATTTCCGATTAGGGAGTGTCTGAGTCCTTTTTCTCGACTGCAGCTTCCAATCTCCTAGCTTTTCCTTGGGGGCTTTACTGCTCTCTTCAAAATACCCATCACTCGGCTGTTGTCCAGTGGGGCTTCCTGCGTCTGAGTCGCTGGTCTAGAAAAAAATGGCCACGGATGTCATGTGGGTTTTCCCATATGTATCATGTTCCCAAGATAAGGAGTAGTGACTTGGCTGCACACCCGTGAAACTCTTAATTAGAAGACCATCTCTTAATTCATCACATTAGTTAGATGTGCATGATCTGTGTGGTGTTTCTTTAAGAAGATATTGCACTTAAGAGGAATTCATGCTCTCAAATCAATGGTTTATTAGTGGTTAAGAGAGTCTCAAACTAGGATTCTTTCATAGCTTTAGGATGAGGAGATCTTGCTAGCTAGAACTCAAAATCCAAAAGGCATAAAATGCAAGTCTGATAAATTCAACCCACATGGGTTTCCATGACCCCCCAAATTAAAAAAATAAACAAAGAAATTGCATATAAAATCAAAAAAGAAATGACAAACTAGCAAAAATATTTGCAATACATATCACAGACAACAAGCTACTCTCTCTAATATATAAAGTTCATAAAACTCGAAAAGAAAAATACCAGCAACCAACAAAAATCTAGACAAAGAACAAGATCAGACAGTTCACAGAGGAAAAGAAAAATGCAACAAGCCTTTACACATAAGAAAATATGCTCAGTTTCTGCCATTATCAAAGAAACCCAAACCAAAATTAAAACTACTGAATATCAGTTTACACCTCTCAGATAGGACACGTCCCCAAATTTGAAAACACATTCTGCTAGTGAAACTGTAGGGAAACAGGTTCTTTCGTGCATTGCTAGTGGAAGTACAAAATGGCACAACCTCTATTTAACAATTTTAATAAAAATTACACAATAATCTACTTACCCTCTGATTCAGCAATCCCAATTCTGGGAATTTATCCTAGAAATACATCTCCTGAGTATAAAATGAAGTATGGTCAATATTATTCATTGCAGCCTTGTTTGTTGTACAAAGGAATGAAAACAAGTTGGTCAAATGAGAAACCTGTCCATGTATTGACATAAAAGGGTCTCCAGGATATACTCTAAAGTAGAAAAATGCAAGACATGAGCAGCGTGTGTGTATGTGTGTGTGCATGTGTGTGTAGAGAGAGAGCAAGAGATGTTACATTTGTATAAAAAAAAAGAAGTAAATAATTTACATTCATATCTGCTTGTATTTGCATAAAGGAACACTGGAAGGGTAAGTACGAAACTAATGAAGGTGGGGAAGGATGGGGTAGATGGAGATAGCAGAGGGAGCAAGCTGTCTCAATCTATATCTTTTTCTCTTTTTTATTTTTTTTAACCGTGTGTATATATATTTTGAAATTAACTTTAAAACAAAAAAAAAAAGATAAGGAAAAAGAAAAAGAATGAGCCCTAAAATCAGAAAATCAAGACTCAAGCTCTCCTTCTAATCCCTCTAGCTAATCACCAGCTTTTGCAACCCCACCTGGAGTCAGAATCACCTGCGCCTCAAGGTGAGAACCAGAGCTAAATCCCATTCTTCAACATCCTAGTGCTGCTACCTTGGGCCAGCTGGTCAACCTCCTTGAGACTCAGCTCCTGAATGATAAAATGTGGATGATAAATCCTGCCCTACAGAGTTATGGTGAGAACCCCAGAGGTGACCTATTTATGTTTGTCATCACAGTGGCTGCTCATAGCTACCCACAATATTACAATAAATAGCAGAAACCTGTCATATGAGCCTGACAATGACTACTCTCAAGGACTGCTAGTAGGACTTCATTAAAGGAAGTATGAGCATTTCTAAATATTAATTTCATTTGAGAGTGTTAGTAAAATGCACTGTGTATAGACATCACCTAAGAAAAATCAGTACCACTATCTACCTTTTTTCCCAATACTTTCTTAATTATCCTCAGGATTAATAGTACTGCAGGCAACTGACATTACCAGGTCAGTCAGAAATTTTAAATTCATTTCTTGGTCACACATAAAGAACCAAGCTGCTACATCAAGTTCATGGTTTTTTTTAAAGTATTTGTCTCCATCAATATATAAAAATATTTGTGCTTTGTAACTAGTCTACATTTCAGAGGCTGAAGAGTTTTTTGACATTGGGAACGTGAGCCCCAACACTTCAGTACAAATGAGGGGGTTGACATTGCTGAGACAGCTTATCAGGGAATGAGAAATATTACACGAACACATCACATACGCTGAGAATGAAATCACGTTTCATGGGTTAGCAGGAAACCAGTTCTCTCTGGACTTTCACCCGGAGTTTTCAACAACTCTTGCTAAAACACTTACAATGTGATATATAATTTCCCCTATTGAAATTCCCTGGACTGTGCTTGGAATGGCTTCCCTTTTTGAGCGGACTTTACTGAGGACTCCCATTGCTCAGCCATTAGGAGATTGGCACACATGTCACTAATCCCACCTCCAGGATGCCAACAGAGACTAGATTTGAAAGAGGCCAGGCTTTCAAAATGTATTCAAATGGGTATCTACCATCTGTGCCCATTGCCACAGCATCATCAAAAACTCCCCCACATTGCCACACTAGACAAGCTCTTACATAGAACAACTTGGACTAAAGGGAAGAGTCAGGTGGAAAAAGAAGGCTCTCGGCACTTACCGTGTTACTAAAGCTGTCTGTCCTAGACATCGTGGGGTCTTCAGTGGCATCCCAGCCCACAGAACTTCGAGCCACTGGAGCTTTCTTGGGGTCATTTTTTTGAGCAGGGGGTGACAGGGGTGTATCCTTGGACTTGGGAAACAGAACTTCATGATCTCTGATCATCATGGTCATCACTCTTTGGATTTGAGGAGTCCCTGAAAGAAAGAAGAAAGAGATCTGTAGAGTTGTACCATGGCAGGAGGCAGACATTCCTAAGGGTCTCCATCATGGGATGTCTCTAAACTTGGCTCTAAAACCACAGAGTCTGAAAAAACATCATTTTGCTCCTCATGGGACACTTCTGAATTGCTTGAGGTAGAAGATTGTGGTGGAAGAGAAGAGATAGAAGAAGGATACGGGAGTGGGTAAAAGAGGGTTATTTTCAGCCTGTATGGTCCTTTAGTCAGTCTTTGATCAGAAAATAGGCAGTATAATAGTAGAGAAAATGAAGATATCTTTCTCCCCTCATGTGGTCCTCAACATGACATCTGATTTCTTATTGCACACATAATAAATATGTGCTAGGAGTACTGCCTTCCCAAATCCATGGTAGACATCAATACTCTATGCCAGGACTTTTGCTCACTGAACCAAGACACAACCACAAGTGTGGCCTTTTTGTGAATTCTTACAAGTGGCCTTTTTGTGAATTGTCTTCTAAAGTCAAACTTGCTTTCTCCACTTTCTTGCAAATTCACTTTCTCTGGCTAAGGCTATTTAAAAGTAATTAAAGACTGGGGCGCCTGGGTGGCACAGTCGGTTAAGCCTCCGACTTCAGCCAGGTCACGATCTCGCGGTCCGTGAGTTCGAGCCCAGCGTCAGGCTCTGGGCTGATGGCTCGGAGCCTGGAGCCTGTTTCCGATTCTGTGTCTCCCTCTCTCTCTGCCCCTCCCCCGTTCATGCTCTGTCTCTCTCTGTCCCAAAAATAAATAAAAACGTTGAAAAAAAATTTAAAAAAAAAAGTAATTAAAGACTAAGAAACACTAGCTGTTTTTGTGCTAGGCTATCGTACTGTGTGACCATTGGGTAAATTTTGAATCTCTCTGCTGTGCTGTGATCCGGAAAATGGACATAATTCCTGCCCTGCTCCTTTCACAGGGCTATTTCACAATTTGGGCAAGTTAGTCAACAGAAAATGTTTGGCAATTTGCAGAGCACTTTGGTAGCTGTGTAATTGTCGTTACTTCCTCTGCACTCGACTTCCCCACAGGACCAGTCTTACCTCTCATGATCACAGCAGGGTCTTCAACCTTTGACCTGATGAGATTCACACCAATCACAGTAGCCAGGTTATCCACGCTCATTTTATTAACACCACAGTTCAACTGGATTTCATGTAGGAACCTGTGGGCAACCAGGAAATCCCATAGTAGGAAACAGGAAGTTGCCAGAAGGAAGCACTTCCAGCTATCAATGAGATCTCAGAGATGGATCTCATCTCCTTCCTTCTAGTCTCAGGAAGGGGACCAGTCTGGTCTGCTCTGCCCACATGAGTTTAGCTTCACCTTGAAAGACTCAAGATCAAGGTAGAAGAGAAGCCAAGAGGGGCCTGTCCAGCTTCTGGTGGTGGCATTGGGGCTGGGAATGGAGTGTTGGCAGGAGGCAGGGTCCAATGCAGGGAGCTAAAAGGAAACTAGAAGGACTCAAATGGGTATCTGACTATCCCTAGTCCCAATTTCCTAGGCTTATCTCCCAGGTTCTCAGTATCCATCCCACCCAAGTTTCCAGAGAAGAAAACTTTCTCATGAGGAGATGTCACAGAGGGGAATGAAGAAGTGACTCTTGCTTCATCCTCTGATTATAGCACCAAGCATCTCAAATTCTCAGTGGGTGCTCAATAACTAGCAATGAATTTTTACTATAATTCTACCCATTGGAGACATGAAGCTCTCCTCAGATTCACTATATTAAAAAAAAAAAAAAACTGAAAACATCAGCAAAGGAATCTCTACTCTCTCTAAAAACCATTTTTAAATGAATTGGCTGAAGCAACATAAAATTCCAAATACATAGAAATTATCAAATTAATGGTGGTGTTTTCAAATGAGGAAACATTATGAAATATTACAGACTCATTTATAATCTTACTTTAGGACAGGCAGAAATGTTCACAATATAATATTAAGCCCCAAACAGCAAGACACAAATATGTGCAAGAAATTGTTTCCCTATATTTATATTGATGTATGTAAAGATCTATCATAGAAAGAAAAACGTCCAGAAGGAAACATGCCCAAATAATAATAGTGATCTTTGCTGAGTGAGGAAAAGGCATTATTTTTATTTCTTATTTACGGTATGTTGTATTTTCCTTCTGCAAAGCATGCATCACTTTTATAATCTAGAAACTACAACAAAAATTTTTTTAAATAAAAGCAAATTTCAGCTCTGTCTGGCAAGAAGATCCAGATTCCCAGCTCAGACAGACCTGGGTCCATCTACGCACTACATGTTGCCACAGAGAAGGCACACGGGTCCTCAGAAAGGGAAATAAGAAGGGTGGCCAGGAATGAATCTAGGGCACTAAGTTATGGTCCAAGGTCAGGAAGATGGAAGATCATTCTAGAAACATTCATAAGGATTCTGGGTTTTAATACATGTCCCAGGACTCCAGGTAGCACTTGAGCAAGCCTGGAAGAGGAACATGTTCACTTCATGTGCCAATCAGATTTTCAGCGGATCTTTTAAATTATCTTGTGGACATAGGGAACAAACTCAGTGCTGTGTGAATACAGTTGACCTTCCCAAAGTCTGGACCAGAAGCTCTGAGTTCACAGGGACACCCTTTCCTCCTCTAACCAGGTGCTTCTTTCTGATATGGCTGGAAACTGATACCAGGGGACTCTTACCTGCATATGTAGCTCAGGAGGTTATAGTTGTCTCGAGGAAGGATGGACAGCTGCTTCACCAGCTCCTGCTGAGCCTGGGAAGAGATTTTGAACACCCTAAATGAGCCTGCTCACTTGCCAGCAATGAGACTCTGGAACATAGGGAACATAACTGATGTATCTGTGCAGAAAGCAACACTTTGGTACTCACTCCTGTTCCCATAGTTTTGTGTGTTTTTTTAAAGCTTTTTATGTCCAAATAATTATAAATTCACAGGAAGTTGCGAAAATAGTATGGAGAAGCTCACAGGTTCTTATACAGCACATTTTTTTATTTGTCTCTAATCATGCCCTCTTCCCCAACTCAGAACTACTCTAAGGCAAGGACGATTTGACATCTCATACTCACAGTAATTGTTTGCTTAGTGAATGCTTAAGATACAACACTCCAGTGAAGCACTGGATCACATCCAAATACCCCAAGTCACTTTAAAAGTAGTGAGAGAAGAAGGAAGCTTCGGAGAAGGATTTTAAGCATTATGGCCTTGCTGAGATCTGCGGGGACACAGGACAAGCTGACCAATCATGGGAAAGGCAGGTAATGTTGGAATGTTCTACCTCCATGATGACCATGAATGCTAGAGAAGAAATTCATGTGCCAGGGAGAGGAAGGACAGAGAGCTTTCTTAGTTCTTTTCATCAGCAGCTGCCTGTAGGGTCTGTAGTCACTGTCAGTAACATCGCGATTGTAAAAGTGTGCCAGTTAACATGAGACATGTGGGCTCCCTCAAACCTGAGCAGCTTCTCCCGGAGAAAACGCACCCTATGGCCTGTCAGCCTGCATGTAGTGACTTGGTGCAGACCCTCTGTATCTAGAATACCTGCTTCATATTAGGATTCCCTCTTCCAGTTTATTTTATTTTATTTTTTTTTTTATTTTTTTTTCAACGTTTTTTAATTTTATTTTTGGGACAGAGAGAGAGACAGAGCATGAACGGGGGAGGGGCAGAGAGAGAGGGAGACACAGAATCGGAAACAGGCTCCAGGCTCCGAGCCATCAGCCCAGAGCCTGACGCGGGGCTCGAACTCACGGACCGCGAGATCGTGACCTGGCTGAAGTCGGACGCTTAACCGACTGCGCCACCCAGGCGCCCCATCCCTCTTCCAGTTTAATGGGTGAATTCTTTGTAAAGGTTGCTGTAGATTCATTGCTCTCAACTACCACTCCTGCCACATTTTCACCAATGAGGAAGGCTGTGGTCTCTCTGCCCTGCCCAGATGTGCGTTACCACAGATTAGAAACTCAAGTATGTTGAGGGGTGCCTGGGTGGCTCAGTCGGTTAAGCGTCTTACTTCAGCTCAGGTCATGATCTCACAGTTTGTGGGTTCAAGCCCCAACAGCTCAGAACCTGGAGCCTTCTTTGGATTCGGTATCTCCGTCTTTCTCTGCTTCTCCCCTGATCACGCTCTGTTTCTCTCTCCCTCTCTCCCTCTTTCTCAAAAATAAACAAACACAAAAAAATTAAAAAAAAAAGAAACCCAAATATTTTGAGATGGAGAAAAGTTGGGAGAAGCAGGTCTAAAGCGAATAAGTTCAGGGGTGGGAGTCTTATTGTCAGATCTGCATCCACATACCTCTTTGCTTTTCCTGGAGCTATGGGGTGAGAGATTGCCTGAAACACTGATGCTTTTTAGCCAACTTTTAAACCTCATTCTATAAAATGTTACTAATTTCACAAGGGTGAGCTGATATACCTATATTAATTAAGACTTCTCATGTCCTCATCTCACTCTCTCCCCCAAAATTTATAAATCATGCACAAAATCATTCAGTTACTTATTTTTTTTAACGTTTTTATTTATTTTTTGAGACAGAGAGAGACA